TGACCTTGAACAAGCAAAGGAGTATCTGCAACGTGGCTTAGCCATCGAACTCAAGAAGCTTGGTGCTGAACATGTTTCTGTTGCAACAAGCTACGGTAACCTAGCTTCAATTCACCAGGGCTTAGGTGACCTTGAACAAGCAAAGGAGTATCAGCAACGTGGTTTAGCCATCGAACTCAAGAAGCTTGGTGCTGAACATGTTTCTGTTGCAACAAGCTACGGTCGCCTAGCTTCAATTCACCAGGACTTAGGTGACCTTGAACAAGCAAAGGAGTATCAACAATGTGCTTAACTGTTGTGCTGGAACCTGGGAGAGAAAAAGAAGTTTAGCTAGGTATAGGGAGCGGGAACTGGGTCCCAGCTTTTGCTATTCCCTTCTCCTCGCGATACGTGACCTCCTTTGTCCTAACGGAGAGCTTATTACACTCTAAACCTGGTAAGGTAATAGCGGAATTCCGGGGGAGCCTTGTTGCTATTGCTGTACACAACCACATGTAAGCTGATGTCAAATCTCATTTTCCCAACTACATAAAATGACAATATTCCGCCAGTTATATATGCTACAAATATGAAGATTAATTGACAACTGTCAAAATCGGGCAACCGCTGATTAATATCGCATGACTTTCACCCTGGTTCAGGTTGTAAGACCGGTCCTTTTCCCCTACGTGTAATAAGATGTAAAATTCCACACTTACCGACATAGGGCTATTAGATCAGTGGTTAAAGTCACAACAGAGATTCTATTACGATCGAAATGGAAACGTATAGATACAAAATGTCTTCGTAGTCAACTGACCGCTACCTACACTTTGGAAGACAAAAAAAAGACGAACATGAAGCCGAGTCTTTTCCTCGACTAAATTTTAATGTCTTCGTTGACGTGGATGATAGACATAGATTGACGTTGGAAGAAAAATATGAACTTTTTATAGCGGTGGTAGGAAAATGAGAAGTGCTAGCGAACAGCAAGGTGAAAATGAGCGGCAGTGCCAAAAAATCGAACAGGAAGACAGGCAAGAACATACGACATTTCTTCCATAAACGTGTTTTAAACTAGGAAGTTTCATGTTTTTGTTGTGCAACAACAAAGGAAGAGAAATGTACAAAAAAATGTGCTGCACAATTAGACCTTTCTCGTTGCCGTTGCCGTTAAGAATTACACTACTGTATTTTATTTTTTGATGAAGTAACTTATAAGTATATTAACGAGAGTTTCGCTTTTAGCCCTGGCTGCATGGGAAAGGAGCTATTGATGCATCTTGTTAACAAAAACGAAGATTTACTAGGTCCACTACTGAATTAGTGTGGAGACAGCCTAAGATCCAGATACAAAAAAGAGAGTAAAGTTTGTTGCTATATTTCCATTTTATTTTATTTACTTTCACTACCGGCTTCAATTCAGGCATAGGTTTGCCCAATATAGTGAGGATACAAATTGCAAAGTAATCTCAGCGCTAAAATTTCACGTTCCGACAGTTATACAAAAATACTTAATTATTCTAGCCTTGGAGGAATCATTACTAAATGGATAGATATGAGATATATCACTTTTATGCAAAAGCATCTTGCTTCAATACAAAGTCAAAGGGATTGAAAAGGGATTGCAAAATCAATATCTAATTCTGTCGTTTATTTTTCAAACTATTTTTATATAAGAATGATTTTTTTTTAAAATAACTCTTTCACTCCAGAACGAATAATCTATGAGGTTGTTCTAACTTTTGAGTCTGCGGATGAAATCCGGTGGTGTGACCATTTAAATGAGACCTCTTTGGCAGTGCTCTTACGTTGTACTATTTGCTTCTCGTAATTTTATAGAATGAAATTTGGAATTTCTGTCCATTTTAGACTTTGGCCGTTTCTGCGAGTGAAAGAGTTAAAGCAACCACTTTAGGCGGTGTTAGGATAACAGAAAAAAATATTAGACAAACATTAATTCAAAGTTAAGTAACGCTTTTGTAAATAAACAGTACCATATCACGCAATGCTTTGGAATGCTACTTTCTTCCAACTATAAAAGACTAAAAATCTTTTTTAAATAGAGAAAAATCTTAATGAACGATATGCTTCTCTATCAAACGGCCCCAGGTCACCAGGTATGGACCTCGCCCTACAATTAGATCAGCCCAAAGCCCATTCTTTCCAGAAAAGCTTCCGGATGAGATGGTTGGCCCCTGGCTAACCTGAGATCAGGCCCAATTTGAGCGGTTCTCATACATTCTCTCTAACGGCTACCGCTGAAATTGGGCCTGATACAAACTATTACAAGTTTGTGCTCGTTACGGCCAGATTTTGGCCGTAACGCTGATTGGCTGTTAGAACAATGCCACAAGATCTGATTGGCTTTTGGAAACGCCGGAAGTTGAAAGCGCTTATTCCTCGCGTGGTTGTGTTCGTGAATGATCCGTCGTCGGCGGAGAGAAGGATCGATTTTGCTGTCGTTTTTATTGTTTTATGGTCTTATGGTAGGAAAATATGCCTTAACATGTGCCATGGAAATTCAGAAAATTCATATGGTTGTTCATATCTTCTCAGGATTTGCTTTATTTACGGAAAGTGAGTGTATCGCGGAGATGAATCGCTCTGCAAGATGTTGACCGCTAACAAGGTGCATTTTGATTAACAGATAAAAGCTATTTTTTAAGTCAGCCAGTCTGCATTTTTTCCACGCGTGAAAAATTTGCATACTAGAAAAACAAGCAACGGACGTAATTCTGATTGGCTGATTCGGCAAATGTCAATCAATCAAAAAAGTGGGCGGCAGACATTTCGTTAAAGGTTTGTATCAGGCTCTCTTTTCGTTTCGCCTTGCCCGCCGGAATGTAATTTTCAAAGCGAAACGAAAATAGAGCCTGATCTCAGGTTAGCCCCTGGCCCCACTCTGGACTACTGAGACTGTGTTCTAAGGGAACAAACCAGTGCCGGATCCAGACCTTGAGATAAGAGGGGGGGTGCCCGGTCTCCAATTTTTCTTTTTTTGGCCCTTCGCGCCACAGATTGGTCATGGGCTCCTAGTTTGGTCTAAAAATAAGGGGGGGGGGGGGCCTCCCGGACCCTTCCCCTGGATCCGCTACTGCAAACAATTAACACCACTAAGACGTAGTGAAATCATGTTAAAACTGGACCCAGCTAGTTGTCACCTTTCGAAGATGAACACCTTCAACGTGGTTTTTCTGTGAGGTAGACATCTCTCTATGAAGGATTCAGAAAACTAAGCCGAACACCTTTTTATGATTGACTCCCCCTAAGATAGTTACTTGTTCAAGATGGCCAGTGTGTAACACAGACACTACTCAGGGGTTGTGACTCGGGGGCTCTTGCTTGTAGTACGTAAGTCCCCTTACAAAAACACAGACAGAAGCCCGTATTGAGCAGTACCCTCCCTAGGGTACTTACCACCAGACAGTGGCACGCAGGCGACCTTTTTTAGCTAACCTGAGAAATCACGTGGTTTCCGTTACGGTTTGAACCTTATAAAAAGGCGCGAATATGTAAAGCGCGAGATTAGACCGCAGGGAAAGATAAATGGTAAGCGACGTTCTGTTTGGTCCATACCGACCGGAATGATTGGACTACCTCAAAACGTAGTCCTAAATGTTCGGTTGGAATTTCCGAGAAAATGACCTTAACAATAACCTTCCATTTAGACTTTTAAGGATTTCCGGCTTGGTGGCAAGCGCCTCTGGTATCCAGAATCTGCTCAATACCTATTTGTTCCAAAAAATGTATATCATAAGAAAGTGGTTTTGGACTTACTAAATATAGCCTCAATATTGGCTATATTTAGGGGTAGGGGATAGGGAGGAAGGGAACAAGGGAGGGGGTGGGGATAGAGGGTTAGGGCTCCCTTCCCTTTTCCGCTTTAGTCCTGTTTTTCTCCCCTCTCCCCCTTCCCTTTTTCCCTTCCCTTTCTGCCACGCACGCTAGCTAAATAGAACGCGACTGTTTAATACTTTCTAAACGAAATGTCTAGCAAAACAAAAAAATTAGTCTCCATTTATTCCTATAAAACTCTGTTTTTCAATTTTTGGCTCCTTTGCTTTCAAATAAAGATTTCATGGCTGTAGTTCGCTGTTGCCAATTTTCCTAAAACAGAATAAACAGAGAAATGACTTTACGGACTTAATATTACAGTTAACCACGGTTAACGTTGTAACGCGGCTAGAGGTCGCAGGGTTCAGTTTAGGTTTCATCGTTGTTTCCAAGGGGACACCGAAAGTGTGTTCTAGTATAGCGCACATTTGAGGCATCTGGCGTCCACCTCAAATTTTGGCGGGTTTTTGAATAGCTTAAGAGATTTAGAGTGACGGCGTCTACTGCAAACGGCAAACGTCAGATTCAAGTTGAGAGGTTCTTAAAAACATTACAAAGCAATTGTTATAGACGAAACTAACTTGAAGCTACTAATTTTGGGGTAGAAGTAATGAACAGTGAAGCATAAGCTAAGGGAGAACTTGGTCACGAGGTAAAAATTAACGTTTGCCGTTTGCCGTAAACGTGACCCCAAATCTCTCTATTCACTTAGAGACCAATTGGTGTGTGGCATTCGTAATCCATCTACCTGCAAAAAAGCCAACTGAAGACTGCAGCTTTCAGGAAGCTTTTTCGGTGGCTATCGTTGATGAAATTGCGGCCAAGGAGACCCTGCAAGTGCAACAAAAACAAACCCTTCAACAAGCGAATGAAGTTTCCAAGGATTCATCGTTTTCGCCGCTTCACGTGCTCAGCGTCACGCATCGAGACAAGGAGCTCGTCAAAATTCGCTGTCTTCAAGCCAGGCGATGGCATACACTTGTTTTTTTTTGTGGAAGCGGTGGCCACGCAAGGCCTATAACAAATTCAAATTTCGAAAAGGTATATTTCGCAGCTGCAATGTACGTATTACCACACATTGCTCGTGTCTGCGAGAAGAGACGAGTGAACACTTTTACTGTCGAGGACTCAGAGTTGCTCGAAGAATCTTCGAGCTGTATACGGCTGTCTAGGATAAGAATAGCATGGCCAAGACAGAAATCTCTGTTCCAGGAGAGGAGTGCATGAACACTTTGAATGTCGAGGGAGAGTTGCTCGAAGAATCTTCAAGCTGTATGCGGCTGTCTAGGATGAGACTGCCATGTCCAAGTCAGAAATCCCTGTGCCATTAAAGATTCAAAACATTGTTTGTTCTATGCAGTTAGACACCCTGTGTGCTCTTCTTTTTAGTACCAATGAGTTTCTTTAAAACCGTTTGCTCTTATGTTCACCTGAAACCGACAGCGCTCTCAACCTATACAGGTGAAACTGTGCGCCCCTTAGGAGAAGCATTTGTGCATGTACAGCATTCAGGATGGCAGCGATTTCCGCCTTTATTAGTGGCAGAGGGAGGCAAATCTGCCTTATTTGGTCGAAATTGGCTCATGGATGCGAACCTAGATTGGAAAAATCTGCCTGATTTAAACCTGCCTACATCGATACAGTCAGCTCCTTTCAGAAATAATGATGATCAGTTATTTCAGCCTCAACATGAGTAACGGCACCGGCGCGCCTGTTGTGCTTAACGAAAGATAGAAGCCAAATTCTACAAAGCAAGACCAGTTCCTTGCGCCCTGCAACCTAAAGGGGAGAATACTCTGCTATAAGTGAAAAAGGATGGTTTGATTGAAAGAGTTATTTCTTCTGTTTTTATTGTTGTTGTTCTTTTTTTGTTGTTGCACGCGCTTCCTGGTTACCTCAATAGGGTAACAGCGTCGGTCTGCTGAACGGAAAGTCGCGGGTTCGAATCCCGGCCGGACCAACACTCAAGGTCTTTAAATAACTGAGAAGAAAGTGCTGCCTTTGTAATGACATTTGCAAATGATTAGCCTTTCTAGTCTTCTCGGATAAGGACGAAAACTGTACTGTATGTCCGTCGCACAGCACTTACACATACCTGGTTCTTGTGGAACGTAAAAGAACCCACACCACTCTTCGAAAAGAGTAGGGGACGTAGACCCAGTGGTGTTGTCAATCTTCACACAACACATCACATCATTCACATCATGGGTTGGAGTGGCTGCCAGTGGCGCCTTTGTATGCTGACGTCCGAGCTTACTGTTCACATGTTCTTCTTCTCCTTCTTCTTCTTCTTCTTCTTCTTCTTCTTCTTCTTCTTCTTCTTCTTCTTCTTCATTCTAGTAGTTAAGAAAAAAGCTAGCAACGAATTTTGTCTCTTTGGCGAGTGGGAATGTGGAAATCTTTCATTTTGCGTTAAAGGTCGAGAGCGCATGGTGTTTAGTTTGGACGTTACTCGCAAGCGTATTGGTTCATTACGATGAGACACTGCCTCTGTTCATTTCATTTCATGCTTCATCCTATGGCGCTAGCTGGTGCTGTCCTGTCGTATCAGATCGGTGGACACTTTCCACGAGTGGCGTTGACGCCTCCTGCACATTTACTCAAGCCCAGCGAAGCTACACTCAGCTGTAAATAGCACGCTGTTCGCATTATTTTTTAATTAATGCGATTTCGCCAGTATCTGTTTGGTCGCTTTTCACAATTGTAACTGATCAAACTGACCATTTCTTTTCCTGTTGGGCCCAGAGAACCCAAATACTGTTTAAGCTGCAGCACGACTTCAGAGATGGGCACTGGTTATATCCTTGCGTCACACAACTACAAGATTGATACTCGTAAAACTTCAGCACATGCTGATGCAGACAGTATGTCACATCTCCCTTTACCTCAGACTTGGTCTCCCAATGTGAAAAGGTCGTCGAGTAATATTTCTTGGAATCTGAAGTTGTAATTAATATGCCAAGTCAGAAGATCAAGAAGAAGCCTCCGGTACACCCAGTTCCGTCTCATGTGTACAGTTATCATCAGGTATCATCATGTTCATACAGGTATGAATTGAGCACCCAAAAAGGGCGTATACAGTGGAACCTTCATGTGTGTTCTAGCCTGAGAAAACAGCCGACATTTGGCGTCGCTACCACTGGTTTCCCCACCAAATGACGTCTGAGAAACGAGCGCAGAAATTCCATACTAATGACGCTTCACTACCCAGATCTGGGTAGTGCTTCTGATTGGTTGAATCAAATTTCCCACGCGGCACAACCAATCAGAGGCGCAACCCAGATCTGGGTAGTGACGCGTCATTAGTATGGAATTTCTGCGCTCGTTTCTTAGACGTCATTTGGCGGGGAAACCAGTGGTAGCGTCGCCAAATGTCGGCTTGGTTCTCAGGTTATGTGTGTTCATCTCTCGTACGCGACCACCACCCGAAAGCGACCATCTGTCCAAAATAACAGAAACAAAAAACCAAACAAACAAATTTATACATACATACTTTATTGACTTGCCTCACAGAGGCTTTTTAAAGACAATTTAAATTAATTACATACAACAATAAAAAATAATAATTTACTACAGTAAAAATATTTACAATAATATTTTAAAATTAAATTAATTTAAAAACCCGCTTAAAAACTCTAAGAAAAATATTCACACTAACATTAAATTGACATGATAAAATACTTAAGAAACTAATAAAATCCTTGACGCGTTTACGTTTTAGATTGAACTTAAAGGCAAATACTGACTCGCTTTTTAAGATAGCTATGCATGGAGTTCCAGATACTGACTATTCTATAATAAAGCGTCCTCTGACCAATACAGTCTTGAAAAGTAGAATGTTCAGCATCCGTAAACTCCTCGTAGCACGCCCACTTATGATGAATTTGGAGGAACGGTACTCCGGCACGCGGGATGTTAGACATTTAGAGGCCATGATAGCGCCCGGGGCGTGGTACTCCCCTATAAAAGCGACGGGGTGCTCGTCGTACCTTTTTAGGGGTTTAAATTTGTGGATTGGTACCGCTTAGGGTTCTAAAACCTAAAATGACTGCTGCCATAGTTGATACACTTTATTAGGATGAAGAGTATAATACTATCCTTTCAAAAAGTCCTTGAGAAAAAAAGTGTTCAAAAGTTATCTTTATTACTACTATTAAAATTTGCAGTGCCAGTTATATAGTTTGTTGCTGTTGAATTGGTACCCCTTGGGGGAGAAAATGAATTTGGGACACGCCAATAAAACATGATTCTGCTACCTTTTAAGGGTGTTCTCGAAATCTTCCGACGAGCACCCCCGTCACTTTTATAGGGGAGTACCCCCGGGTGATAGCGTTCCTAAAGTATAACTGAGTTGCTATTGGTAGCCATTTATAAGCTCTTTCAAAACTGGTGTGATGTGCTCATATTTGCGAGTACTGGTCGCAATTCGAGCAGCAAAGTTCTGAATACTTTGTAATTTACTTATATTACTTTCTGCTGTATTCGCTCATACGTTCTGAAGCATTCATAATAGTTAATAGGGTGCGTTTGTCAAAAACGTGCTTCGTGCCGCTTATTTGACTGAGACAAGACATACAGGAGGAGATAGCTTTAGTAATGTGTTCGTCATAGAGATTAGATTAGTGTCCAAGATCACCCCAAGGTCTTTAGCGGTCTGTTCCGGTACTAGTTCTCTGAAAGTGAGGCTGGGAGTGACCAATCTGGAATGCATTTGCCTGCTGCCAAACACCATAACTTTAGTTTTGCTCGGGTTGAACAATAAAAGGTTGTTGGAATAACATTGGCCTATTGCATGTAAGTCATCTCTTAAGTCAGCAAAGGTGATTACAGCATCTTTCATTTTGAAGGATATAACTAGCTTAGTGTCGTATACATAGCTCTGGACGCTGCATTTCTGTGGTGCTGAAGGAACAACATTAGGGTATATGCTAAATAAAACTGGTCCGAGTACACTTCCCTGCGGAACACCGCAGTTAATGGGTAAGGGCTCTGACAATGTTGAATAGATTTGTACCACTTGTCGTCTATCATTACGGTAGTTACAGAACCACTGGATAACTGGGTTTGAGGCGCCTAAATCTTGCAATTTCAAGGTTAGGGTTTCGTGGTAGACGCTGTCGAAGGCCTTGCTGATATCTGAGAACACTGCCGAAGTCATCATCTCTTGGTCATAGCTCTAAGCAGCTCTAAGAATAGTGCCAGTGGTTTCTATGACAGATGTTTTCGTCGAATGTTATTTTTTGTTATACTGTTTAGGTCCAAAGAGACTGTTCCCTATAAAAAGAAAGATATGTTATATATAGGTGTGATGTAATGAGGTTGAGGAGTGTATCGCGCAGGCGCGCACTGATGGAGATTAAAAGTGTTGTAATTACTCAGCTGTTTTCGTTCGTTCCTGCTATAATTCCCGGGTAACAGAGGAAACAGTTTCTCTCAAGATGGTTAAATAGATTGTTAGAAGTCATGCTGGTTTCCTGGGAAATTTACTGAAACTTTATAAAAAGATAAAAACAATTATTAAGCTCAGTTTGTTTTTTCTGGCCAACTATCCGAGCAGGCCAAGGGCCGATCCTCAGAGATGATTGTCTAGGAGTCGTTTATTTCCTCGTTCTGTCGGTGAGTAAATACGTACCTTGCTCGACTAAAGCGGTCAAGTTGAGCTCAGATGAAATCGCTTTCCATAACATGAAATGAAACACATTTGTACAGTGAAACAGGTCAACACTTACCAATAAAATAAAACAAAACAAAAGTGTTTTGCTATTTCTACAAGTTTTAACTTCTGTGGGTCCCAGAGTTTTTTATTTTTCTTTTGCAGGGGTAAACCGCTCTGAAGGCGGATCGTTTAGCCTAAAAATCGTTCTGGTTTTGTATATTTTTAATATCTTTTTGTTCCTCTTTAACAGCTTCTAACCCGACAGTCAATAAACGTGTTCTAGCCTGCGGGCAGTGGTTTCTCCAGGCCGGACGCTACCCTGAAACCACTGCTCGGAGGGTAATAAAGCGTGAGAACTTGTCGGTCAGATTTACCGATCAAGATAATTTGACGGCTCTTGTAAGTTTAGAACGATTTTCGTTTGACCCTGAAATCATTACGCACGAACATAAAAAACGAACAAGAATAGGAAAATTTCGTTGGTTTAATGAAAAGACACAAACGCGAGCGGTTTCAACGTATTCTCAGCTGACGAAAGATTGCTGAAAAGTATAAATGTTCCCTACAACGATGTCAAAAGAACGATGCTTTTTTCCCGTTTTTAAGGTTTTCTTTCGAAGGAAAACGACGAGTGTATGTTACAAAACGTTTCATCTATTGGCTGATTTTAAAAATAATGAACAATTACGAAAGCCATTTAACAAGGTAATACGAAAATCGCTTTAATAGCAGCGGTTAATTTTTATATGCTATAACCAAGCGCTGATTCAAAGGCTTGCACAAGGCTTACAAATGGAAACTTTAACTCATGAAGTATTTAAAAATTTTTGTATTCAACCAGGTCTGTCTAAACAAAGGGAGTTTAATGTCCACATGTGCCCGCAAATACATCTTCGAGGCACCCGCGAAAGTGATCCGATCTTTGAGACACCCGCCGAAATCTCAGTCAAAGCCCCGCTAAGCGCTCTGAGGTCCCCGCGAGACACGCGAAGGGACATGAAACTTACCCTCTCCCCCACACAAAAAAATCACGCAATCTGT